TTGAACCGCGGTCCCTGATGCTTTGCCAAGCTTGTTCTAAGTAGGTGCCTTAGACCACTGAGCCATCTCTCCAGCCCCGGCATATTCTTAATAAGATTATCATACTTAGTCTTTTAAACCTGTAAAAATGTCATTGACACAAGTATCTTTTTTTGTTTCTTAATGTGCTACTTTCCTTTTAGTCTTTTAATAATGGATACATTTGTAGGAGGAATTCAACTTACTATTTTGGGTCATCATCTCTACTTGTTACAAATACTAATCAGATTTTTAAAGCCTTAGACAACATCTTTCCACTCCATGGCAGATATTCAGTAGCTCTTCTTTAGCTTTCCTTAATGATACTTCTTAGAGTGCTTAGTCAAGAGTAGTAGGAATACGCAGGAAAGGGTGGTTTGGCGGGCCAGCCTTTTGCAGTCATGGGCAGTCATGGCAAGAACTGGAGCACTGGTAGCAGCTGCTGATGAGGTCTCTGAACCTTTCACACTGACCTGCCAAAGAAGTAGTGGGCGCACTGCATTTCTAAAAAAATCCTTGGACATTTGGTAACTTTTTATTTACTTAGAATTTATGTTATGCTCTAAAAGGGATCAAGTTATTCTGAAGGAATGTTTGGAAAAGTACTTTGAAAAACATTTAAAATTACTGTGGTCATCCTTGGTTTAATGTGCAAGGCCACTTTCTGAATGTCGGGCGCCGCGAGTGTTCGTGAGTGTGTCTCCTGTGCCCCTCGCGGGCAGGCCGGGCGCGGAGCAGTGTGCTCCGGAAGCGGGCCTCGTTCTGTCTGGGCGTGTCTCAGAGAGGAAAGGCACGAGGTGCGCAGCTTTCCATTTGGACCTGAGTGTATTAGTTTGTCTTTCATTGGTCTTTAATTTTTGTGTTTTCTTGATTATGTGTAATATGTTCCCACTTTTAGAAATTTTGGAAACTACAGAAAGTTCCAAGAATAAGATGACATTCAGACTTAAGTGTCATGAGTGTTGCTAAACTGTCTGTGTTCATACCTATTTTTTTTAAAGCGGCTAGATTGTGGTGTAACCTCCGTGCTGTAAAGTCACATGCTGGAGGGAACAGTTGGGGGTCGTGGTTGTTTGAGAGCAGTGCTGGGGAACCAGCCCAGGGCCACACTCAGCAGACGAGGCCTGTACCGCAGAGGTCCCTCCCCAGGGGACCTCACCATAAGTTGTTGTTATTGTTGTCGACTGCTTTGGGTGTGGCGCTGGGAAATGAACTCAAGGTCTTTGCAGTCAGCTACACCCCTCGCTCCCTCTTTTAAAAGAGGAATAGCAGTAGTCAGGGCCTCAAGGCCTCCATGGATTGCTAATTGGGAAACTTGGGATCTTTCTGCCTTAGCCTCTCAAGAGTGCTGGAATTACAGGTGTACAGCACCATACCCAGCTGCCATAATTTAATTTTAGTACATTTTTATCGTCTCTTAGAGAAACATGGGAAGCCATTCGAGTGTCTCAATTAGCAGCTATTAATCTACTCTCTGTGTGTGTCTGTATTCTACTGTTCCTCAGTTTTCTGCTTTAGTTTAGTAATAGCCATGCAACTTGCAGTGCTTTCTACTTATTTTACGAGAATTGTTAAGATCTGTTAATGTTCTGTTTTGGAACTGCTGTAGCTTGGACCTGGCCTGACGCATTAAACATTGAAAATTTGGACTCTGAGTCATGGACTTCACACACTGTAAAAAAGTTCACTGCATCCTTCGAAACGTCGCTTTCAGGAGAAAGAGAAATCAAAACTCCAACCATTTCTCTGAAGGAAACAATTGGGAAATACTCTGATGACCGCGAAGTGCAAAATGAGATTTGTCATAGGAAAATCGTTTCTTGGTTTGGCGACTCCCCCTGGGCTCTCTTTGGCTTGCATCAGCTAATAGAATACGGAAAGAAGTCTGGGAAAAAGGCTGGAGACTGGTATGGACCGGCGGTAGTTGCTCACATTTTAAGGTAAAAGTGTTTTAAAATCTCACGTTGTGAGGACGCAGAGACACTGATTTCTGCAGTTTGTGTGTGTAAGAACGTCCCTGAGGGCGCTTTCATTTGCTGATAGGGAGAAGGTGTGTTGTTACTCTACTCTGTCTACTGACAAATTTTTCTTCTCTTGCTCATAGGTGTAGATACTTGGACTCTCTCATTAACCAAGTTTTCACTGGACTACCTTATTGAAATGTTCCAAAACTGACATCTCTTTCAACCTTGGAACATGCACAATGTTATAGGTTTTTTTTTGATAATGTAACCTGGAGGCTATAATGTACTGATAGTATAATGAAATGTCAAGAGCTAAAATTGATGTTTTTGGTGTTTCTTTGCACATCAAATTCTTGTGAATTGTAAATGTATGGGACATGGGTCTATTAATATTATAATTATATCATAATAAAAGTGAAAAGCCTGTGACATTCAGGTAGTTAGAAAAAAATGGAAAGTCAAATTTTAGTATGCTAACTCTTAAATACCATTTACTTGGATATCACCCTAGTTTAAAAAATATACATTATCTGTTGAATGTCCATTATTATAAATAAGTTCATCATTATGTTATATAAGTATGGTAAGTTGTGGCAAATGTACTCCACAAATAATCATGTAAACTTGAAATTATATAAAGCATTTTTTCATTTTGGCATGCTTTGATATTTTATAGGTCTTGCAGTGGGAAAAGTACCTGATATGCTCAGGTGGCTTGTTAGTAGGTCCCAGCTACCTTGATATTTATAAAAGTATAATCATAGAATCATAGTTTGAATCCTCCCAGCGCTTAGCAAACTTTCTGTAAATGGGCAAATGGTAAATATTTTAGGATTGCAGGCATTGTAAGGTTCCTATTGCCCATTTTTATTTTTTCCTTTTAAACTATCAAAGCAATTCTTAGCTTGTACATATACAAAAATAGGCCACAGATTTTGTTTGGCCTATAGGCCATAATTTGCCAATCCTTCTTCCATACTAACACATAGCATTCATAATAGAGCATTTTAAGCTAAAGAATTATGAAGATGCAGTTAAATAAGATATTTGTATTTCCTCAGTTTGCATAATTTCCTTTGATAGATATTGTCATTTTCCCACAACGTTTGTACCATTGAGTGTTATACTCACTTAGAAATATTTTTCATTGTGCAGTTTTACTTCTAGAACTCTAGCATTTAAATTAGGATGTTAATTTATTATTTTTTTTTTTAGGATGTTAATTTTTAAGGCCCTCGAGGTGTTTTGTTTTGTTTTATTTTGTGGTTTTGCAGTGTTAGATATCAAACTCTGAGTCTCACACATGCTAAGCATGTACTCTACCAATGAGCTACACTCTCAGCCCCTCATACAGGTTTTTTTTTTTTTGGCAGAACCAGGGATTGAACTCAGGCCCTTGTGCTTACCAGGCAAGCACTTATTTTACTGAGCCATCTCACCAGCCTTCATACAGGTTTTTGAATGAAGGCTGTTGATTGAAGAAACGAAAACTCCCATAAATATATCAGAGGATAAACAGTAATTCATTCCCAGTCAGTAATGTCAGTTAATGTGAAGCAAACCTCAGAGCATATTATAAACCTGGCTAGAAGACGTACACTATCGCAGCTAAGTAATTTGTAGAGATTCTTGGGGTGAGTGGGTAGCACGACTGCATGCCCGAGGCTTCTGAAGTACAGCTTGCAGCTGATGTTTTAATGTTCTTTGAGTAATATTATATTTGACTTTGAAAGACTTAACTGATTTCTGATCCTCTCACACGATGGCTTTGACAGCAGACGCATAGGTTCAAAAAGAATTTCAAAGATGATGGCTTTCCCCCATTTAAGCTCAATCTTTAGTTACCAACTGGAAATGTTAGCATTTTAAAGGCGGATACTTATTATTTTCTTAGAAAAGCAGTTGAAGAAGCAAGACACCCTGATTTACAAGGAATAACTGTTTATGTTGCACAAGACTGTACAGGTAAGGCATGTCTGTGTGATTCTGCTTTTTATGGGTTTATTTGGTCAGACGTGCATGTGCTCGGCCGCGGGGTCTCGCACGTGGGCGTGAAGGCAGAATGTACGACGTGCACTTTGGCCCCCACTCTGCACCTAGACGTAGGGGCGCTTAGGGGTTATACTGAATATATAGTAGCAGTTATTGATTACGATATGATGATACGTTCCTTAAGTGAATGCCAGCCTTTAAAGTGGCTGCCCCGAAGGATTAGACGGAGAGGCAGCTTGGGTTTCCCCAGGGGCCCGTGAGTCAGGCCCCCTCCTCGGCACCTCTGTCTCCAGGAAAGGAAGTTCCGACGGGCTCGGGAGCAGCCGCGCCTCGCACTGCCGCTGCGGGGATTGCCTGCTGGCGAGGCGGCTGCGGGCCGGCCATACCGGAGAAACTGTGACTTTGCGCCTTTGCTGGGGATGCAGTAGAGACCTCAGCATCCTGAGAAAATAAACTGCTTCATGATGTTAGATATTTAACAGAAAAGCTGTTGAGAAAATTAAATAGATTCATGTTTTAGAAAAATTGAATATACGGGAATCACATTTGATATGAGGGCTCTGCATAATGTGTAAGGTTATCCTGCCAGCAGCTAGTGTGGAACGAGTGCTTACCAAGTGTATATGCATTTTCTTTGGCTTTTTGTGGAGGTTAATTTCCTTTTAAAGAAAGACTGAGAGTCATATAAAAATGAAAGTCAATTTGTGGTATGCACAACTCAAATGTTTCTCATTAAAATAGAAAATTAGCCAAAAAAAAAAAAATGAAAGTCATAGATTTTCAGATATATAAACTTTGTAGGTACTGTGTTTATTTCTGTAATAGGGCTTAGAAATAAAATCTACTGTGTAATACTAATTAAGACTAACAATATGCTTAAACAACTAATTTATGAATTTGCTCTTCATACTTTTATTTTTATCAGTCTTCATCTTTATTACATCTACTTAAATAAAAATACAGTTCCTCATTTATAAGTGGTTTGTGTGATTTGAAATAGGTTTTAAAATTTTTACTATTCATGTTTAAGAATCCTAAATGGAGAATTAATATTAGTATAGTTTTATTAGACTGTGGGATTGGGAACTAGGTGAAGCAAGAGTCTGGCTGATTTTCCCCCTCCTTAATGTTTTTGAAGGTTTCATTTTCCATTTATTTTCTTTGTTTTCATTCTGTATCCTTTTCCTTTGTAATTACATATCTTTCAATGGCTTTCAATACTTAAAGCTATGCATTGCACATTCAGGTTTTAAAAAGTAACCGGGCGTGGTAGTATATGCCTGTAATCCCAGCACTGGGGGAGCTGAGGCAGGAGGACTGCAGTGCATTCAAGGCCAGTCTGGGCTATGTAATGTAAACCAGGTCAAGCCCAGCCTACACTACACAGTGAGAACCTGCCTAAAAAAAGAAAAAGATTTATGGAACTCTCTGTAGTCCCACTTGAGCTGCTACCAGGTAATTCATGGTTTTTGTTGCCCTTCAGTTATTACCTCGGAAGTTCCATAATCCCTTCAGATTAGCATGTGTGGAAGTCCATTTCCCTCTGCCCTACTCCTTCTCCTTCCTGCCTTCCCTGAGGGCAGCATGGCGCCCACAGGCCCACGCGGAGCAGGACCTGACCACTCGGAGGGCAGCACTCGTTTCTGATTGTTGCTCCTTGCTCCAGTCTTGCTGTCCCCAGAGCTCTGCTCACTGCACTTATAAAATTGTCCCTGAAATCTGTTCTCCCTTTGCTCTCACTGATTTAGGTCATTCATACCTTTATAACCCAGACCTTGGATTTTCTTGTCTTTTTCTTTCTTTCTTTTTTTTTTCTCCATTTTTTAAATTTATTTTGTACAAGGTCTCACTATGCAGCTCAGACTCAGTGATCCTGTTTACAGCCTCCCCAGGGCTGGGGTTATAGGCATGTGACACCACACCCAGTCTCAGTGGCTGGCTCTGCATGCCCTGGAGGCGGGGCCAGCCCCAGCATGGCATGTGGTGCCGGGGATCGACCTTGGTCCCTGCACTTGCTTAAGCAGGCGCTTAGTCTGCTGAGCTATCTCGCTGGACATTTTTATTTCATTTTATTTAAAAAAGTTTACCTAGTCCTGTTTTCATTTGATTCATCTGATCAGAAGTTGCTGATCATGTCCTTCCCTTATTGAAAAACCTGGGGCCAGGGAGATGGCTCAGTGGAATAAGCGCTTCCCTGGCAAGTGCAAGGGCCTGAGTTCAGTCCCTGGTTCCACCAAAAAAAACCAAATCCAAAACAAAACAAAAAAAAATCCACACAAGCGTGTGTCTCCTTGCACCTGCTTGGAATGCCTCTCCTAGTGTAGGGCTCTTACTAACTTTTACTTGTTCTTCAAGAGCACACTCAAGCTTCATTAGGCAGAATTAGTTTATTTTTCTTCTTTTCTCTGTAAGATTTTGGAAATGCTTCCATTAGGTACTGTACTTGTAATTCTGTTTCTGTGTAGCTCACTGGAGGGCCGAGCGAAGAGCTGGAGGAAGGGTGTCAGGATCTTGTAGTTGAGAGTTGCTCCTCTGTCTGTGCCTCTGTAACAAAACTGGACCATGTCTAGCCCTTCCTTGTGTTTAGGGTTGACAAACCACAAGGTGGACACTGAAGTCAGTCTTCACCAACTGTGCAAGTCACATTTGTAGCTAGCTGTGTGTCTGCAGATGTGTGGAATAGTCACTGTCACCGCCTCCACGTGGTCAGCACTGGACCATATTGTCTTTTCATAACCACTGCCTTTGTTCAAGCCCCACCCCAGCTCCGTGGAGCACTGCAGTGGCTCTCTGGCTCTTCGCCGTGCTGCAGCCCTGCCCCTGCAGTCTGTTATCCCCGGGAGCTGGGCTGTTAGAGTGCAAGGACAGCAGGGCCCCTCTCCTGAAAACTGCTTGGGCCTGGAAGCCTTGGCCGCAGCCCTTGTCCCTCCTCTTGCTCCTAAGGCTGACAGTGAGCTGCGCTCTTGCCCTGGGCGTCCGTCCTGGTGCCTTGCTCTCCCTGCGATGCTTTTCGCCAGGTGTCTTCAAGTCCCAACTCAGTTGTGCTCTCCCCAGTCTTTCCCGATCCCCTTATTTCAAATGGACTCTCCCCGCAGTATTTCCTTCTGCCTTTCCCTTCGGCTCTCGTCGGAGCACCTGCCTCTGACATGTCTTACATTTTGCTTCTTAGTCTGTTTTCCCCATTAGAGAGCCTGCGCTTCTCCGTTTGCCCCCCCATCCCTGTAGTGACAGCCCAATAAATTTTAGTATATGTGCTGCCGAAGCGAGCACAATAGTCCAATAAATAAATACTGAGTTCATCAACAAGGCAGGTGTTTTTAATTTGTTGGGACTTTGGTAATGACATCAGAGATCAGATGGTAGGCCTGTGGATAAGGGTGGGATTAGCATAAAATACTTGTGAAGATCACTTTTATAAAATTTAATCTGTATTCATTACGTATTTCTCAGTTTACAGTTCCGACGTGATTGACAAACAGCGTGCTTCCGTGACCTCTGGTAATGCAGATGACAAGGCTGTTATTGTTCTAGTTCCTGTGAGGCTTGGTGGAGAAAGGACCAACACCGACTACCTAGAGTTTGTGAAGGTATGAAGTTAGCGCCCAGTTTTAAGGCATGACTGGCTAATACGAAAAGCACAGAAAGCTCGCAGTCTGCCTGCTATGAAAAGGGGCGGGATGCGTTGGTAGTATACCTCGCGTCGTGCAACGTGCATGCGTGTGTGCGTGCGCACGCATGTGACAGAAGAGCAGTGCTGTAGGACAAGGTGGAGCCGTCTGGTGTCCTTCTAGCTAAGCAAGAAGACACAGATTTTCAGTAACCACAACCTGCAGTGTGGCTACAGTTCCATATTCTTTTGTGACTTAATATATACAGTGCTATAGTCTATTCTTAAAATCAACACCAAATTATACTGAATTACTGAGATAAACTGACTTTTAGTTGCTACTGTATTAGCTCATAATTTGTTTCCTGTGCCAGCACAAAGTTGGTGGGAAGTTAGATTGTATGTGCAGAGAGAAAGCACGAAGGTAGTGTCAGGAGTGGCTTCCAGCTTCGTTCTTTTCCTGTTAGCCAGTTAGGTGTTCATTCTGTTTTAGAACATAATTCTGTTCCTAGGTACACTAATATATATGTATAAGCGTTTGTCTTTCGGGACAGGGTCTCGCTATGCAGTTAGGCTGGCCTTGAGCTCACTTTGTAGCGCAGACTGGTCTTGAACTCGTAACTATGCTCCTGCCTCAGCCTTCTGAGTGCTTAGTACATTGTCTTGTTTTAGGCACCAAGACATCAAGATTTGACAGAATGACCTTTGAGATGCTTAGTTTCTGATTGTGATTATAGTTTTTGTATTATTTTAACAGTTTTAATACAGTTCCTCATATTTCAAGAGTGTTTTCCAGGGCAGAGATGGAACTTGTTCTTTGAATGGAGTTTTGAGGGACATAGTGACATTGAAATAAAGTCTCAGTCCATCTTCTGTGTGTCTGTCACAGTAGCCCCAGCCCAGATTCCTGTGTAGGGGTTGTACAGGTGCAGCAGATACATAGCTGGATTGTGTCAGCCCTAGGCGTCTAACGTGTTGCTTTCAGTACGTGATATGTGCATTCTTCTAACCAGCACATTGCAGTTTCTAAACAGGTAGCTCCTTAAACGTTGGAAGCACACTCAGTACCCGTAGTGTCAGTACTGTAGTATACTGAGTATCGGTGACGCCCCGGGAGTGGGGCTTGGTGCCTGACACTAGACTCTAGGTGAGTGTGAAAGTGGCAAGCCCTTCATTAGCGCGTCTGTCGAGGATTTGGCGCTGCTGGCGTGTTGCCGTCTCCACATGAATTCCAACCACATTTGTGCTTGCTGTGCTGTCGCTCCTGCTTGAGAAGGTCAGGGGCTGACATGTCATGCTGCCTCTGGCAGCCAGAGCTCTGCTGCAGGCCTTACGGAGGGCCTTGCCTCTTGGTGATGTGGGCAGCATCCATCAGTGCCTGGGCCTCGAGCGCTCCTGAGCTGTACGAACCAGCCATGGCTGGCTGCTCGAGGAGCCCTGGTGCCTCGCAGGTAGCAGCTGCACCGTCCATATTTGTTATGCCTCTTTGCGGAACACTTGCAATGTAAACACATCTCATTTTGTCTTCCAACAGCTAGGAACTGGGTTATCTATGAAATAGATAAGACAGAAGAAAAGTGGTATGTTCAGTTTGGGTAACAAACCAATTACTGAGCCAAGAACTTTCTTAGCTCTCAATTCATTATTTTTCAGATTTTCCCCTAAAATCAAAATATTTGAAGTTTAACATTCCCATGAACATTTACTAGTCTGATTTGTACTGTGGTTCACTACCATGAGAGAGGAGACTGTTGAGACTTTGCAGATTTTTAGTTATCAAGTAAAGGATTCTGAAATGGGTGTGTGAACTAGAGTCTGTGGGAGGTGTTCTGCTTAGCAGAGGGGAAGCTGGCCCACAGCCAGCGTGGGAGCTGAGGGAGAGGCGTGGTAGGGTGGCAGAGGACTGCGCCTGGTAGCCCAAAGCAAGGTAAGCACCGTTCTGTCTCTTGCTCTTCTTCTTCCTCTTCCTTTGTGAGGACAGCAGTTGTATTTTTTCTTATACATTTCATGCACATTTTAAAGTCTAAAATTCACCATTCAGTTCTATTTTTCAAATTTATTAATCAAGGTAATTCCATAGCATTTCAGAGGTGGCCCCATTCCAGCATCCTGCCACGTTGAGCGAGAGAAGGAAATTTGGCACGTGCTTTGTCAGCCCTGACCACAATAGGTTTACTTATTTATATTTTTTAAGGACCTGGGATGAGGAAAGCCCAGTATGTTTTCTTCAGCAAGACAAATTAGCACTTTCCTTTTTGACTGATTGCTTCAGTCTTACTTATTGCTTCATGGGTACAGCTCAATAAATTCTCACCCCGAGGTGACTGTGAAGAAGCTCCTTTAGGAACTGAAAAGTGTTCCGAGTTTCCAAGGATACAGCTCTTCCGAGCAGTGGCATCCTAGCTCCTAATCTGCCGAGTGTGTATTGCTAAATCTGCTCTCGTCTGTGGCAAAGGAAATAAAGACGTCAGGAGCCAGAGACTGTCTTCCATTACTCGCACTCATTCTTTTCCTGAGGAGAGGCAGTGGTGGTTCCTGCATGATCTTTCTTTCTCGCCTCAGCTCTGGACACTCAGGACTTACAGCTCTTCTTGCGGCCTGGGCACCTAGACGTCTCATTTCAGCTGGTCAGATGGTTGCCAGCGAAAGGAAGTGACTGTCAGTTGTGTTAAGGGTTTTTGTGTAGGGAGACAACAATAGAACGATCCTACAGCTAAATGATCCTACTACTGTTAAATATTTATTTGGGGAGTATAATTTTTATCTTTATTTTTTTAGTTAGCTCAGGTAAGTTAATGTTTGCTAAGATCATAATTTAATATACCTACTTGGTTTTATTTCATGGTTTTAGTTGCAGATCTTCTTTCTAAAAGTATCTCTGATGTTCTTCCAAGACTGAAATATGTGAAGTTGTTCTCAGAGGATTGTGTGGTCTGTTTTGGGCTGCTGTAACAGTTCTCATGGCTGGGGAGTTTCTAGAGCAGAACTTTATTCTCACAGATCTAGAGGCGAGAAACCTAGGACAAGGTGCTGGCTCTGGGGAACCTGCTGACGTGGTCTTCAGCCACGAGAGCAGAACAGGGACTTGTTGACTCCAGCCTGTTCAGTGGCAGCACCCGTGTTGTGTGGACAGCCCTGCCTGTCACCTCCATACCTCCCCGAGGACCCCACTTCTCAGAGCTCTTCCATAGAGAATCCATCGTCCCATCCCATGGACCCTGGAGAGGACAAAGCCATTCAGGCCATAGCAGGGGCTTATTAGTAACAGCGAGAACCTGGGACAAGTTAATGCACCGGGGGCTTTAAGCCTTGTTGTTGCCTTAGTGAAGTAGGGTGTTTTGCAGCCCTTAAGTACCATCACTCATATCTGTAGTTGTTGTTAGGAAAAGATATTCTTTTTCAAAGTTTTATTGATAAACAGCAATGAGACAGTTTCAAATCAAATCGAAAGTACAGTTTCAACAAATAATACACTGCATATATTCTTCTTAGTGGTTAATTGCTGTACAAGATGCGGACTTGTGATCCTATTTACAAACACCATTAGAACAAATCATTCTATTCATTAAGAGAATGCAACTATATATCTATCCCAACCTCTTTGAATACACAGATACAAAATGGACATTCATCGGTATGCCCCATTTTTTCTAAGTTCCATTATTGAATATTATAGGTGTGTAAACTCAGCAAAATATTCTAAAAGAGTCCAGTAGCCCATAATAGCATTGGGTCTTCTGTTTAACTGGCAATGTCAGAAATTATTGACCTGAGTCCCCCACAGCTCAACTTAACAGCATGGCTTTATTTCTTATATTTCGACTTCATACTTTTCTACTGGATGGTTAAGACCAAGGTAAAGCAGGACCTATGCAACAAGAGTTGTAGCTTTTGGGTCTGAGAAGGTCAGTGAAATGCCCTCAGGATTTGTCCTGAGATCCTGTACCTCAGATTGTAGAACCTTTATCAGTGCAGCCATGTGGATGTGTCACGGCCATTGCTTGGCCAATGTGCTCTCTGTGAAAGCCTGAGAGAGTGTCTTCTCCCCATGTGACTCTCCTTAGGCCCACTCTACGTCATCGATCACTTTCCTCTTTGGCCCCATAATCTTCTTGATCAGAAAATTTGGGACACTACCGAGGTACATGACGTTACAGTACAAGTTCTCATATGTCCTGAGTCTTAATTGACCTTAGAAGGCTAGGGCCAAAATGTTGGCTTTCCTTGTAGCCCTCCTTTTTCTCTAATTTTGGTCTGCAAACTTAGATTGTTAACCCTCCAGAAGATATTCTTGAAGTGAGTAACAAAAGAAGTATTCTGAACACCTGTGCTCTGTGACGTCCCATGTAGAGAGCTGTGTAAGTCGGTCTGTGTGGGACGAGGCAGCGAGGAGGTCGCGCCCCGGTGGTAGTGAGCAGCTGTGGGCACTGGGCTTGGGGGCCTTTTGTCTTTTTCTGTCTTCTATGTCCTTTTTACCATGGCCCCATGTTATTTTTTTTTTTAATTATTTTTTTCATATTGTTGATAAGAAAGCAATTAAGTTAAAAAAAAAACCTAAAAATTATGATTTGTTTATTTGCCAACAGGAAAAAGGACATATGCCCCTGTGTAGGTGCTCAATACACGTGGTGGTTACATGCTAGTCAGCTGTCGTAATTTGGAAACCCGTATATACAAAGTACGTTTTACGCTCCGAACCCACCATCCACTGTAGGCCAGTGTGGCGCAGCACAGAAGGGCTCAGTGTTTTGCTGTGATCCCCCAGTCACCTGGGAGCTACAGCGATGCCACTGCCCAGCCTCAGGAATGGGGGGTCAGGCCACGTGTGGAGCCCAGGAGGGCCAAAGGCCACAGTTCACGTGGGCTTTCATGAACAGGGACCCTGAAGGGCTGAGTGCGGGGCCGCTGCAAGTCTACAAACGTCTGTGGCCCTCGTTTTTTCTAACCTCCAGGCTTTCCAGCGTCTTAGGTAAGGGGGGTGCTCAGCTGTTCAGTGCGTTTGGAGTTTTTCAATATGATTACTGGTGTTATGTGCCAAAATTAAAGCAAAAACTATTGATAAGACATTGATTTCTTTGGATACCTTTAATTGACTATGCTGGAAATGTTTCTTAAAAAGTATAGAGTTACGTGGTCCAAATTAGAGAATTTGCTTAGCATAGTATGCAGAGGGGCATATTAAATACTTTATGGAGGTTTCCCTGGGATATTTGATTAGTAGAATAAATTAGCTTTAGATATAATAATAATTATTTTTCTTAGATTTAGGTATTTTAATTATTTATTATGTTTGTTCCAAATGAAGCAGGACAAAAATTTTTTATCAAGTCTAGTGCTTTGATTAGAAAAGGAAGGGCTGGCCACATAGCTCATGGGTAGGCCAAATAGCTCAGCAGATTTAAGCACCTGCTTAGGCAGGGTGCAGCGGCCGGGGTTCAATCCCGATGTACTTTGCCAGCCCCGCCCGTGGGGCGCGCTGAGATAGCAACTGAGATGGCGTGGTGGTGTGCACCTGTAATCCCAGTGCTTGGGGGGCTGAACACAGGTGGATCTCTACGAGTTTGATCTACATAGTGAGACTCTGTAGACCCTGTAGGCCCTATACTAAATACAAATATAAATAAATGAAAATAAAGGAAGCCTGATGAAAATATGACACTAATTACAATCTGGTAACTAAAAGGCCAAGTGTTATATTTTGGCAAAGATTTTATTTTCTCTACTTGGAAATACATAACATAGCACAAGTCAAAAATATATATTTTTTCATTGTTGAGGCTTGAACTCAGGGCCTCCACATGGAGTTATCTTTCTAGCCCTTTTCACTTTTTAAAATTTTAAGACAACTTCTTACAAAGTCACCAAGTTGTCCAGGTTGGGCTCAAATTTGTGATCTTCTTGCCTCAGTGTCCCGGTATGCTGGGATTGTAGGTGTGTGTTCCACCACAGCTGGCTTAAAACTGTGCACTCGTAGGGGCTGTGGTGTAGCTTAGTGGCACAAACGCCGGCCTGGCAAGCTCGAAGTCATGAATGTGGTTCCTGGCACCCCCACCCCTCAAGTGTACTCTTAAAAATAAAAATGTGCTCGGCATCTCACACCCAGACAGATTAAAATGGTTAGTTGAACACTGCTGTAGACAATTTCTTTATATACATTAATGCATTTTTGAAAATAAAAATTCAGCAATGCCATATATACTCTTTTGTAGCCTACTATTTCACTGAGTGGAGTATAGTAATATATTTTCATCTCAATAAATTAATGTTAACATCAAAATCTTCTATATAGTTAATAATTTTCTGTTTTAAGTAAGGTGAAATCTTATTGTAGTTTTGATTTACATTTCTCAAATAGCTGTATATATATTGGCTGTTTGTACTTCTTTGGAGATGTGTCTGATCATTTGCCCATTTATTGTTGGGCTACTTGATATTTTGGGGTTAAGGTCTTAAGTTCTTTATATATTCTAGATATTAATCCTCTTTCAGAAGAGTAGCTGGCAAAGACTTCATCCCATTCAATGGGCCCTTTCTTCCCTCTATTTTCCTTGCTTTGCAGAAACCTTTTTATTTGATGTACTCCCATCTATTGATTCTTGGTATGATTTCTTCTGATTTTGGAGTCCTACTCAGGAGGTATTTTCTTGTGGCTCTGGCTTCAAGTGTTTCCCTGGTTTTCTTTTTTTTTTTTTATTTTTTA